GAATAGAGGAGATTTTTAAAGAATTTTAAAATGCATTTTTACTTGATAATCATTATCCTAGCCATATCCTAGCATCGGAACCTCCGATCGTGGGACCATTTCAAATTCAGTCATTTAGCAAGATACAATGAAATGAACAGAAAAGAAAACTTAATTGATTAGACATGTTTTCTCTGTGCTTGAGAAAAATAAATATTTGTACAGTTACAATTATGCAATATGTATTTTCCTTTAAAAGTTTGACGTTAGTTTTGGTGATTGATTGGGAAATCTGCTCAAAGGATCTTGAGCAAGAACTTCATCACCATAACAAACCCACTGGCCTTAAGTCCTTCACTAGGCATATTGAAAAAAGGGTATATTTGTACGAGGAATAAAAAATTACCGTCCTTTTTCGTTTCAATGGCGTTTTCAAGACCTGTTTGGCCATATGACAACTGGGAGGATGAAGATAAGCTCAACTTTCAGGACTGTCCTCATCTTCTTCAGCCTCGTGATGTAAGGTCCATCCTGTCCAAACCAATAGAAAAACGAACATCTTTCTTTCGAAATCTAGAATCTTCTTTGAAATTGGACGAGACAGAATTTAAAAATGTACGAGACACATTTTTCAAGATGATTGAGGACGCTTTGGTTGGTCTTCAAAAATCATACAAGATTTTCGAGGATAGCTGCTTAAAACTTGCTGGCAGTTCCGCAGAAAATACCAAAATTGGAAAACCGGATGAGTTTGATTTTACCGTTATTCTTCCAAGATTGGCCCACCCAGATTTATTTTTTCGACATAGGAGAAAACAAAATAAAGTGTTTATAGAGTTGTGTGCTGATCTTCACCTTAAGGATCCAGACAGATTTGCAGTTGACATTCACTGCCCGTTAAAAGGTCTTTTGTCCGCTAGTTTGATTGAACACCTTGCACCAGGATGGAAGTTTGTAATCACCGGATGCAATATTTTTGAACGAAGGATGGCAGATACTTACCACTTTACCCGGAGCAGCGACTCGTTTGAAGTTGACGTAAATGTCTGTTTTCTTATTCCTTTCTCAAAAGAGACAATACTGATGCATTTGAATGATTTTCAGCTTGAAAGCGAACAGCTTATTCAAAGTGAGGCAGATGAGGGAGGTCTTCTGTACGTGCTGCTTCAGAGAGGATTTGAAGTAAGATTTATCTCATCCCACCTGGAAACGAATGCATTTGCTTCTTTTGGGAGAATCTCGCCTCAGACACGAACATACCGTTTGGTTAAATGCATTGCCAAAGTTTTACTCCCTAAAATTGAACAAAGGTACAGGTGTCATCGCTGTAGAGAGCCAATATTTACTTCGTTTTATCTCAAGAATATTGTTCTTTTCCTCTGTGAATATTACAGAGACGATAAGCATTGGCAAGAAGAAAGTATTGGAAGCAGAGTGATAGAAGTATTTCTTATTCTGAACTATTGCTTTTTGGAAGATTTTCCACGCATAGCTGGATATTTCTTCCCCGTGACTTACAGCACGAATGAGTTGTTAGTATACCGGCCGCAAACCAGATACCTTATATCTGAATCTGAAGACATCCATGTCGTTGATGAGAGTAAGTTAACAGAAATAGAAAAAACGTGCGAGGAAGCAGTTTATTTCGCTTTAAAGTTTTAAACGAATATTTGTTCCAAATGCGAAGTAAGCGAAAAGAATGTATCAAAGATTTGTTTGAGAGCAGTTGGAGCTTAAAAAGAGTACAGTTTTACGCAAAAAAACGCCTTCAGCATTAATCATGCCCCGGAAGTAATAAGATTTGACCCAGGAAAAAGCGAGGCTGGGACATTGAGAGAGTTCCCCAGAAACGACTACCTCTCAAAAGAAACTCTTCATGATGATGTAGCCCAACATCGCTGTTTTCTACCTGAGGTCGAAAGTATATGTCAGCTCACCGAAGATTTTTCCTTTCATAAAAAGGTTAGAGAGTATGTACACCGCTTAGAGACAACGGAATGGAATTTTAAAGATGCTTTTCAAGGAGTTGTCGATCTGTTGCTTGAACTGTGATTGTGTAATATAAACTGAATGAAATCATGATTACATATATCTATTAGTATATTAGGTCCCAGGATCAAGAAAAATATCTAGCTAAGTGAAAAAAACTTTTACTTGT